GCCTGCAGCCGCTGGCTGGACGTGGGCACGCAGGGCGGGCAGGATTCCAGGCCGCCCGGCCGCGTCCCCGCCGCCCAGGGAGGGCAGGCCCAGCTGCAGGGCGCGCCTGGCTCGGGTCCAAGTTGTGGTTAATTAACGCTCCGTTAGCTGTCAGTTGGTGAACATGCACCATCCGGGCCCAGCACGCCCCACGGGCCTCACATCCTTACAGTGAGGACCCCCCCACACACACCGCCTGCCGTATGCACACCCCCTCCCCGCCTCCAGGGTCCTGCTTGGAGAGCGCAAACCCCTGCTTGGTCACTCAGAGGCCCCGGTTGCCAGGTTGCCAGACGTCTCAGCAGCCGTGTGCCAGCCTCCTGCTTCTGACCTGGGTCAGGCCTCCCCTCTCTCCTACTCCCATCACTCTGCGTCACTGTCCGCAGAGCCCACGAAGCTCTCATCTGGAGTGCCCACATGGAAAAGCCCCAGATCTGGTGGTGGACACCCAACTGGAAAGGCCCTTTGGCCACTCCTCTGTCTCTCTGACGAGAGGTCACATCGGTGTCCCACACACGGTCCTTTTCTCCCGTTTTAGGGAGTCCTGGTATCACAGTACATGGGCTGCTTGGCTCTGCCTTTCTGGAGGTTCAAATCTACCAGCTGCTCTAGGGAAGAAGGACACGCAATCCCCTCCTGTGCGATTCACAACCTCAGGAACCCAACAGATGACTCTGACCCTGTGGATGAGAGTGTGTGAGCAGCCGGTTCCTGGCCTTTTCTGCCCCCCCCAGCACTGGAGCAGGCTCATCCGCTGGCCTGGCCAGCAGAGCCACATTCTAGACGGAGACTCTGCCTAAGGACTAGGAGCTCCAGAGGACAAGGCGTCTGTCTGTCTGTCCTGTGCTGGGAATGAGAGCAGCAGGGAGGGCCTGGCCTTACCAGTTACAAGCGACCAGCTAGACCCCAGCCTTCCCAGCTGTCTTTGTTTTCCAGAGCTGGAAGGAGGTCTTCCGTGGTGGCATTGTCCAGTGCAGTGTGTCATCTGACTTCTTGACTTCTGCTTCTACGGATGTTAACTGCTGAGCCAAATAGTGGAATAAAGTCAATGATAAATCCAATTTTCCCCCCAAGACAATATATGGTAGAGTGTGACACAGAGACCAATGGGCAGGCCAGAGAGATTTTCCTTCATACTGTAACTGGTAAGGATTGAACAGCATCAGTTTGGCCAGGCCGTGATTCTGAGTTATGCAATACTCTACATTTTGTGAAGTGACATTTTGTGGGTGGTACATTCTAACCTCTGATGTTAATGAGGCAGGGTTAGAGGCAGTTAGCATTCAACAATCAACACCCTTGGTGCCAGTGATCATTGAGAAAATCTGCTGTCAGAGGCCTTTCCAAAGTGTTAAAGAACAAGGATGTCAGCTTAAAGACTAAGGTGCACCTGCTCCAAGCCATGGTCTTTACAATTCCTATGCACCTGAATCGATGATAACAGATCAATGTCTCTGAGTTGTGGTTCTGGAGAAGAATACTATGTGATGGACTGGGAAAAGAGCAGCTGTCTTAAAGAAAGTGCAACCAGGGATGCAGTCAAGGATGGTGAACCTTGGCCTCACACACACTGGGCACGTTGTTGGCGGGTCCAGTCCTTGGAAAAAGCCATCCTGCTTGGGAAGGTGGAGGGTCAGAGAAAGGGGGTAAGGCCCGCCACGAGATGGAATGACAGTGACCACAGCAGTGGATTCAAGTATATCAGAGATGGTGAAGGGTGCACAGCATAGGGCAATGCTCAGACCCTATGATGGGTCATAATCAACGTAGGGCAGCTAACAGCAGCAGCATATGGTTATGCTAATGAGAAAGGAATCTGCAGGATTAGGTCACGTGGAGTCAATGTTCTTTTTTTTTTTTTTTTAGTCAGTGCTTTTAAGAGCTGAGAGGTTACCACCAGTGGAGAAGAGGGCCCTGAGCGCCCCCATAAGGCAGAGCTGGGAGGACAGCATGTCCTTTGGATGCAGGTCCCAGTGCTGAGAGCCTCCTGTACCCAGAGGAAGACTGATGCCAAGTCACATCTTCCAGGAACACTAGACACTCAGATGGAAAAGGAGACGAAGCCCTTTATCCAGAGGTGACACAGTTTCCCCCTAGAGCTGGCGCCCTAGGTTTTGCATTTCTGGTTTGCATTTCTTTATCCGATCCTTCACCCTGCTCATTCCTCTGATCTTACATAATTACTTTTATTAGTTCCTTTCCTCTTAGTAGTCCTTCTTTTTGTGCCCCTTCTCCTCTTCTTTATGTAAAGGGCAGAAACATTTTCCTGGGCTATGAACTTTGTTGTTGTTAAAATAAATCTTGGAAGGGAGCTCTGGTGGCCTAGTGGCAAGAAGCTGCACTGCAATTCCAGAGGTACGTGGTTCAAATCCACCAGATACTCTGCTGGAGAAAGAGGGGCAATCTCCTCCTGTACCAGTCAGATCTGATTTGACGGTACACAC